CCCTAAACCCTAAACCCTGTTCAGGGGCCCTGGGGTTAGGCGCCCTGGGGCCCTCGTACAAGGAGCCACCCATATGGAAGTCCAGCGAGCACTCAGGACCTCCAGATGTAGGGTGAGGTTTCAAATGGTCAGGGTGTAGGGCTTTACGGGTTTCATATGGGGGCCTTAACAATTAGAATAGGGATTGGGGGTATCTTGCACTATGATTATATAAGGAACCCCCACATCCTATTCTAATTATTAGGGCCCCCTAAACCCTAAACCCTAAACCCTAAACCCTAAACCCTAAACCCTAAACCCCTACATTAAGAGTTCAGGGTTTCGGTCTCAGGCGCATGGGATGGAGGGACTGGGGTGCCAAAAGAGCCTGCTGATCCCAGATACGCCAGGGCCAACAGCAAAGCACTTCCAAACCCTGTGGTTGAGGGTCTAGGGTCGGTTTAGGTTTAGGGTTTAGGGTTTAGGGTTTAGGGTTTAGGATTTTTTGAGCACCTGTTTTCCAATCCGCAGGGTTCAGGGTTTCGGGTTTAGGGTCCATCTTCCCCATACAAGAAAACTCAGGCACCGGCTCTGTGTCGCAGCAGCTGGTTTTCTCTGCCTGGCAGAGACCCAAAGAAGCCTGGGCCTAGACCTAAACTTTGGGGTTTAGGGTTCAGGGTTTAGGGTTTAGGGTTTAGGGCCCTTGAAGCCCAAATCCCAAACTGGCCAGCTCCCACAGCCCGCCCCTCCCCTCCCCTGCCCTGAAAACCCCCATCCCCTGCTACTCTTCAGGCGAGATTCCAAATGTGTTTCTTGGGCCCGGCATTCTTTTTGGTTCTGGGTAACGTACACTTCTTTCGAGCTACCACAAGAAGAAGAGCCCATTACTTTGCTGCAAAGCCGTATGACAGTGACTTCGATGAACTGCTTTATCAAAAATTACGACGCCACATAATAAACTCCCCCCATAAGCCACTGTAACAAGCCTGTCACCACAGGAAGGCCACGTAAGACCCTTAGAAACCCTTATGCGAAGAACCCTAAACCCTAAACCCTAAACCCTAAACCGAAGCCACAACAAACCTTGCGCCCTTCTGGAGCCCGCGCTGCGCCAGAGTTGGCGGCGCCCGGGACAGGCAGCGTGGAGAGCAGCTGCCTTAAGGGCAGATGTTCCTGGGGTCTTATTTAGGGTTTAGGGTTTAGGGTTTAGGGTTTCTTCCTGCTTGGAGGGTCGGGGGACTTAGTAACTAGTTATTCTACAGACTTATAAGTACCATAACCCCAATTAGGATCCCTTGTAGGGTACTTATAACTCTAACTAATATCTACTTACTAAGTCCCCCGACCCTCCAAGTGGGGTCTTGATTGATGAAGGTCCTGATTCTGAGATCTATAATTTGGGGTTTCGGATGCAGGGTTTACTTAGGGTTTGTGCGTGAAGATCCATTGACATGAAGGTTGAAGGTACTAACGACAAACCCCCAACCTCTGAAGACCTAACCCTCAACCCCAAGCCCTAAATACTAAACCCTCAACCCTAATAAATCCTAAACCCCTGAAGTAACCCTTAAAGAACCCCGAACAGAACTCCTAAACCCATGTAGCGACCCAAAAGGAACCCTGAACAGAAGCCTCAAAGACCCTCATGGTGATCTGCAGCTGCCGGGGATCCCGGCTCGCAAAGCTTGTCGAATTTCTCTGGGGTGAACTTGTTGATGATGGATCGCCACTGCCTGGGGGTTTAGGGTTTAGGGCTTAGGGTTCAGGCTTTAGGGTTTGGGGTTTAGGGCTCCGGGACCAAACAAGCTTTGCGGGTTTAGCTGGATTCATTCCCAAATACCCATGGGCCAAAAAGTTCGAGTCTTCAGAGTAAGACTACCCTGTAGGAGCCCCAAAAGTTGAAAACTTTGGGTTATGAACCACTACATTAGTCTTAAAGCAACCCTGAACCCTAAACCCTAAACCCCTACTAAACCCCTAAACCCTAAA